ATCATTTATACCACAAACCGTACGTGATGTCACGATTACTGAAGATATTGTAAGTGACTTAATTTTACATTTGTCATATAAATAATACTACAGTGGGTTCAAATTTAACTGATTAACTAGTAGCTAAGTGGAGGGGCCGGTCTACCATGTAAAGACGAATTTTTACGATATTGCAGATTTTTTGTATGCCATTATTTTAATCTTAGTTGTCAAAACAAATGCATGTATATATTAAGTAAGGTCAGCCTTAAAATTATCTTTGTTTCCCCTCCCGCTACCCATGCCAGATTTAGAAGGATAGGTAGTTAGGTAGGTAGATAAACTTTTTTTATCCAAACTACAATATGTATTTATTCGCTTTCTAAAATTATAGCGAATTCAAAACTAATTGAAGTCTGTTTTAAAGTTTAGAATCGTATTTTCAAAGTGATTTATTCAACATATAAACCAATTTTATACCTACAATTCAAAAAAAACATTGAGAAAGTTTAAAAAGATGTAATTATCATTCCATAAAAAGATAAACATCTGGTTTTTTTTTATGCTTTTCTTTTTACTAGGAAATAAAATATTTTCGGGTAGCTGTGATTTTGGAAGGGAAACAAACACTATTTTAGTTTTGGTCTTATGTAAGATGATCATTCTTAAAAATTTAAAATCGACACTCGATTACGTTGTAATTCGCTAGAAAACTGGAATGGCTCGCTGTCACTTTACTTTTTAGCCCGCAAATATTCCACATTGACGTTTTAGCGTTCAAGAACAATGTTCCGAATGTCGCTCTGTTTGTCCACCTCTATTTTATTGCATTCAGAGTGTAGTTCACACACGTTTATAGATAAAAAAAACCCCACATGTACCTGGCAGAAAAAACTACAATACCGAATACAATACTAAATGATTGTACTTAACTTGTGAAAAAAATGTCCAATCGGACTTAGTTTTAGTCTAAATTACATGCAGTTTGAGTCATTTATTTCATTTACGAAATGTATATATATCTGTCTGCGAGTGTGGGTGGTTCCAGTGAGGGTAAGGAGATATTCAAAACTAAATCTGTTTGTGTACTTGTTAGGTTAGTTTGTATTTGTGTAGCAGCTAACAATAGTCTAGTACAAGGCTGCCTGAGATTCTGGACCATCTGATGAAGATTTTCAGGGCCTTACGAAGAAGAAGTCCGATCCGTAAAGAGAGAACTTCATCACCTAGAGAACAAGCACGAAAATTTTTGTGTCCGAGTCAAGAGGTCGAAAGTCTAATATACAGAGGCAACTGTAAACAATGCGGAATCAATAATTGAACGCTTGGATAAAACTTGAGGTAAAACAAAGTGAATTAGAACAAAATACCAAAGCTGCTAATGCTACAAAACAACTTATTAAGAAAACAGTGGATAACTTGGAGAAGCAAATCAAATGATAAAATAAAAACTTTGCATAATGTGTTAGCTGAGTTGGAAGAAAAATTAAAAAAGGCCATGGTGCCGCTAGAAGGTTCCATGCAGAACATAGAGACCTCTACAAAAAAGAAATTTGAAGAAATTCGCAAAGTCCTCAAGGAAAACGGAGAAACTGCTGAAGAAAAACATGTTTTTATCTTAGATTCACTTGATAAATTAAATAGTGCTGTTAACTCTGATTTGAAAACGAAGGTTGCTGATTTTGATATGCACATAACTTCTATACGAACATCAAAAGACGAGGCAGATAAACTTTTAGAAGAACTGCAAACAGTTGTCGAAAAGATTCGTCCAAACACATTTAATAAAGGTAAGAATTTATCGCTATAGTTACATTAAGCGTTACAGACTTTTTTTTTACAAAAATCACCTGTTTGCTTTACAAAATCGAATGGTTGCAAATAGGGTATGGTAAAAAGACGATTGCCTTATACAGAAATAAACAGAATAATATGTATCAACCTCCCACTAAATCGTTTTTATCATTTTTAAAAAAGAATTCTTTAATAAAGGTAATGCCTCAATTTTCAAATTATGGGTTGCGGTTTTATAAGTTTTGTCTAGTGTATATGCTGATAGTCAATCAAACAAAGCACACAAACAATTTTAAATTTTCCCCGAAAATGATGAATTGTTAATTATGTTCAGACTGAAAGATGGACAAGTCCATTTGAAATATTAAGCATGGTAAGAGTTAAATGTTGGACGACACTAATTGGTAAACCGTCAAAGAATATTAATTTTAAAAGATTAATTTTATGAAGAAATATTGTAAAATATACAAACTGTAATAATAACAATAATAATGATAATAATAGAGTATTTATGTAGAGAAGGTGACATACAAATTTTACACAAAAGAGAACATGTAATACTAATTTTTCAAGTACCAAGGCTTTTTTCACAGGCGTTGGGAAAGCAGCCCTGCCCCCATAATTTTTTGGGGATAAATTAACTGTTTATTTGCAAAAGGGGAAGAAAAAACTTAATGTTCATTCATTTTATTTTTGGAAAACTGCATGATTTTAAAGAATTTTTATTTGGGGAAGCAGCCCTGTAACGGCCCCTGCTATAGAAGGGAAAAGAAGCCCCGACTGTAGGGCTATCTGATTTAACAATAACAAAGAAATATTAATTATTATAAAAAAGAAAAATACAGTTAAACGTCTGTTGAGCGACCATAGAAAGGAAACACCAAAAATTGCCCCTTAACGAAACGGTTTCTTAACAAAAAATGATGAAAAACTTTGGAATCACCCAAAATCTAGTTTTTCCATGTTAACATGTGGTCTTTTACCTAATTTTGGTGAAAAATTGTTGTTTTGTAACATTTAAATAATTTTTTTAGTTAACAAAAAATGATGAAAAACTTTGGAATCACCCAAAATCTAGTTTTTCCATGTTAACATGTGGTCTTTTACCTAATTTTCTGGTGAAAAATTGTTGTTTTGTAAATTTATAATTTTTTTTAGTTAACCCTTTCCCCCATGAAGCATATTGTGAAAAATGGTCATTTTCAGTGAGAACCTCTTTACAAGTTCAAACTGCTATGAAACTATGAAAAATGCTTCAATACTAAAAACTTGGCACAAATGTTGACTGGACCAGTGCCTTTGTAACGACATGCTCAGTCTTAAATTTCCTGTTACCATGGCAACGAGGGGACATCTCAAAATTGCCAAAAATCACTATTTTACCTCGATTTTTTCCATCAAAATTTATTTCAAAGTGCTGCAACTTCACAAGGGATTGAGATAGAGTCAAAGGCTTTTCAGCGTTGGTTACACGTTACCTTACGATCGACCTGGGGTCATTTTAAGCCTGTCACAAGTCCAAGATTTTCTTGGCGATGAGGGGGACTCCGCCCCCCTTCAAACCACCCAAACAGAAGGGGGCACATCCCCCTTCTGGCAACCCCCTGATGTATCCCCCTTCTGGCAACCCCCTGATGTATCTTTTGGATGGGGGGCGCGCAAAAGGGCTCACTTTTTTAGCAACATTTCTCAAACGATAACATGTGTTTGGGGCCCAAATAGGACATTTTTTTCACTATTTCAGGCCTAAAAAGGGGGGGGGGGTCGAAAGTGGGTTGTTTCGCGTATATATGTGGTAAAGGGTTAAGAGAAAAAAGTAAAAATTTATGCATGACAAAGAATCCTGTAAATAAGTAGTAAGAGGTATAGTTTTCAGAACTAATTGAGCATAAATTAATGTAATTCACATAACACTCATTTACAATGGAGCCAGATTATTTTGTAAATCTACATGTGTACACTGTTGAATTCAGTCAAGTATGCTGTATGATTCACAGGAAAGATTATGATCAGATATATAATTTCTTTTTATTTAATTTTATTAATTTATTTTATTTTGTTTGTTTTCAGAAACGCCAGTAAAGGCGTTTTGGGCTCGTTGTCGTGTTTTTTTTTGATTTCCTGGGCATTCTGGGTAATTCAAATTACAGCAAAGTTGTGACAGAAATTAAAGAAGTACCCTTAGTCATCAACATAGACATTTTAAGACATTTGTTTTCTAAATTTAAATTAATATTTATTTTCATACATCAATTAGCACAAGATACTTTATTTTATTTATATTTTTTGTTTGTATTTACAGTGACTGAATGCCCTTCCAACTGAAAATAGTGAGTGCACAGTTGAAAGTTAAACTTAAAATTTTGCGATAATTGTTTTCAATTCTACATGTATATTTACTATACAAAAACAAAAATCAGGGTGACCCTCCATATTTTCTGGATGAATTTGAAGCTCTCAGTTTTTTTTAAAAATAGTAGGGCAGTTCTATTTTTATATATTAATTAGATAGTTTAATGTAATTCTATTAGTTTATATTTTTTCGAAACATTTTTCTTTCAATTATTGGCCAATCACCATTGTTAAAGTCAATCTTTTGAAATATGTCACTAATTCAACTTGACAGCGAGAAAATGAGCATAATATCAGAAAAGGCATGTTTATTTATTAATAATTGTTAAAAGGTAAAGTGTATAAGGAACTATATAATGGAATATCAAGCTACATGAGTACTATATCATTAAAACCTGGTTAGGTGATGACGTTATGGAACGAAAAAGAAAAGAAACAAAATATAAAATGTCTCCTGTGTGGATTTATTATACATCGTTGGGTACAGTACTGAATTCTGTTGGACGGGTACACAGCTGTCAACAAGACGCTAGCAGAGTCTGATGTAGGTTTGCAGCTGTGTACCAGTCCAATACAATCTAATGAGTATTGTTCTCAACAAGTAAATGTATATGGACGTCATTATTTCACACCATCATTTTTGCACCCTCTTTTTTACCCTGTCATATAGATCTACACGTTTAGATTCTGCAAAAAGCATCCTCCGTTAGAAATTGCGGTCATCGAAAGTTAACATTTTGCACTCAAATTGAAGCCACAGAGCTTCATTTTATCTTTTCCTTTTTTGTTGGTATTAAAGTGTGGTAACTCTGCTTCATTTGTATGGACATAATTTGTGTATGAAAAATTAAATGAACGGTTGCTCTGTATGAAAACAATTAATGAATGGTAACTCCACTAGAGTTGTATGGAACAGTAACTATGCATACGAAAATTAAGGAACGGTAACTCTGTTACGAGATTTATTTAACGTTCATTATGTATGTGAGAACTTAGTAACGGTAACTCTGCATAAGAAAAATAAGATAGAGAGATTAATTTAAACGGGTTTTTTTTTTGTAATGAATACAAGGTTATTTTAAAGAATGGTTACTCAATATGAGAAACATAAAGACTTGTAATAATGTTCGAGAGATGAACACACGGTAACTTTACAATGGATGTAAGAACGGTAACTCTGTATGTGAGGTGTAACGATCGATATCTTTGAGATATTTGAGGTATTTCTGTGCTGCAAGGGACGGTTACTCTGTATTACAGTAATCTAATGAACAGCAGCTTCGTAAATGTGTAAGGACCGGTAACTCTCAGGATATTCTGGATATGAATCAAATACTTTCTAAACTTTAGGATAGACTGTGTACCGTTTTTTAAAGCAACCATTATGATGTAGCTATTTAACATAGCATCAGCTTTTGAATGTTGTAATGGATTGTTAGTTGTATTTCATTAGAAAGTTCTTGTCTTTTTTTATTTATGTAATAAAATGAAAATAAAGATAACTTGTGTTTTAGTTGTTTTGTTATTACTTATAAGAAGGACGAATACAGAGCACGGTGACAGTCTGCGTATCTATAAAGATTACAGGACATTGATGTGCTATATGTATAGTCATAGAATATATCTTACACATGGGTTATGTTTAGTCGTGCCTGAAATAATGTACGGAAAGGCACCTGAGGTATTCTTCCGCTAGAACAGCTGGAAAGGCGCGGTTTAATCTTTTTATCAAAGTATTTATCAAGGACATAGGGAAATTTTAAAACAAAGGTTATGTGTTAGTCATTTTATATATCTAAGACATTGGTTATGTGTTGTCAAGGAACATTATACAACACATTGGTTATTGTGTAGTCAAGAAATACTATTTAGTCACGGGTTATGTGTAGTCAAGGCAAATGTCTTAGACACGGGTTATGTGAAGTCAATGAATATATCTAAGACCTGGGTTATTTGTAATAAGGAATATATCTAAAACATGAATCATTAATAATTCAGGTGATATTTAAGAAAACGTGTAATGTGTACACAATATAATACATTTAAAGACTTGGATTGTGTATAGTCAAAGAATATAATATAAAACAAAGGGTATCAGTACTTAAAAAAAATATGTAAGACATAAGTTATATATAGTGGCGTCCGTGGCCAAGTAGTTACGGTGGTTGACTTCAATCCAGTAGACCCTCACCGCTGTAGCTTCAAAATCTGTCCCAACTAGCCTCTCACCGATGTGGGTTCGAATCCCGACTCTTCATGTGAAGAAGCTATCCAGCTAGCTTACGGAACGTCGGTGATTATACTCAGGTGCCTCTCCGTGCCTGAAAAAAATGCCGGAGGGGCACCTGAGGTCTTCATGGAACGTCGCCAAATGACCTATACTGTGTCGGTGTGAACGTAAAAACCAAATCAAACAAAAAAAATCAAATCCTGTCACAGACTGGATTCTGCTATTCAGCTTTCTTATAAAACGTCGGTGGCTCTGATCAGGTGACCATATTTGACTGAAATATTTCACGAAGGAGCACATGAGGTCTTCCTCCACCAATGAAGCTTGAAAGTCGACATATCATATCTAACGTGAGGTGCGGACATAAAACACAACCAAAAATTCATATGTGTATTAAATGAATAGATTTCAAGC